ATATTTATATTCCAATGTACTCTCGTATTTTTAAAGATTTTTAAATTTTTCGAAGAGAATGAAAAACTTTCTTGTTTCACGAATAATCAACTTTTTAAAGAAACAGCTCGAGAAGACGAGGTGTCAAAGTTTCGAATTACAACTGGGCCCCTTCCCCCCCTCATAATTAGGATCAGAATCTTGGATCCTCCGTGTTGTGTTTTCGAGTGTAGGCGTAGGCCGTTGGAGTGTCCCCGTGTAAACAGACAACAAATAGTCCAGGAAGGCCGGATAAGCCGCTAACATCGTGCGGTCTATGTTCAATGCGGTAATTAACGGCGCGATGTCACATAGGGCCTTTAATCTCCCGGTAACGATTCCCGTGGCCGCGAAGTTCCTTGAAAATTAGCATAATAATATATCGTCGTCTATCTCGGCCAATTAAACGGCCATAAAGCCGGCCGAGCTTTGGCGACGGTCCGGGGCTGCCACGACGTCGTACCAGGCTAACTCAGGGACTCAGCTATTAATGAATGGTGGTTCCTCGTCGAGGGTGACGGGGAACTATAAACTTGTCCCCTTGGCCGACTAGACGATCCTTTGATTTCTCTTTTCCTTCCGACCACCACGATCCTCGATCCGTTCGCCACGTTATGCTCCTTCAACTCGTACGGATTGCTTAATTCAAGGAGGAAGGGAAAGGCGCTTTGTTAAATTTTTCAATTATTTCTTTTCTTTTTTCTTTTTTTGTTCGATTGGATGAATTTTGAATTTTAGAGTGGAAAGAAAAATTTTTGAGTCTTTTTCTTCTTTCTTTTTTCAAATACGATTTGCGTTGTACAATTCGAACTAGAAATTGACGGTAATTCGGAAGGATAAGAGTTATTGTAGAATAAGAGAAAAGAAAGAAAAGGCTGGAGTAATTAATCTGAGATTAATTACGGAATAATGGTATTTTTTAAACCTAGCGATTATCGTTGAAAGATGTTACTCGACTCGAACAATTGAAGACAAATTTTCAATAATTATGCGAATTTTATTTACAGATACGCGAGATGGTTTCTCGATTCGAGATCCATCAAAGGCGATAACTGTCTGGCTGCTCGTGGGACATTGCGGTTTTCTCGCTTGCCGTCGCACAATCGTCGGAACATTCGGACCACGGGCATCGTTAAACGATCGTTAACAAGGCCTCCTCGAAGCTCCTCGAACGCGGGACGGATGGGACGATTTGTCAAGATCTGTGTGACGCGGGTCTCTCGCGGGAGTTTCTCCGTCGAATAGCGTAAAGTATAGCGTTTAATCCCGTTAAATTCTAGTTTCTATCCGTCCATCTTTATCGTATAATTTTAAAAAGAATTTATAGAAATCACTTTACTTACTTTTATTATAACAAAAAAAGAAAAATTCACAAATCCAAAAAAGATCATTGAAGAGCACATCTCTTATCAAAACCGAAAAAGAAAAAGCTCTCGACAACCCGTGCCTGATGAGAAATCGCAATTGGAAGCGGCCACCCTAGATATACTTCACGGTCGATTAGCCGGAAGCAACGCCAATCTTCCTCGTCGATTTTCAACTCTCGCGCTCGGCGTGGCGAGGCGAGGCGAGGGAGCAAAAGTTCATTTGCGCTTAATGCCGCGCGATTAATTGCCCCCTCGGCCGGCCACTCGGCGAGAGGTTGTAAGGCCATTTACGGCGGTGGCTCGGGCCCGTGTTATCCCGCGTTGCCTACAAATTCGTTCGCACTCGAATTCCAGCGTGGTGGCCGCGCGAAGGACCGATTTATCGGCGGCTTCCGTGGCCGGGAACCGCGGAAACGGGTTTTGCACGACGACGATCCCGTGGACGACCCGGGGACACGAATACCTGGTGCGGAAACCGGCCTACGACGCGAGCAGACGAGCAGACCCGTCCATTCGCGACAACTCTTCTCCATTTCCGGCCGGCCGTGTTCGAGGATCGCAATTAGCAACGACCTCTGCTCCACTCCTCTGCACCTCCCCTCTCGATGAACCGGCACGGAAACGGCATTTGAATTGCATTCGGCCGTGAGAGCATTGCCTGATTCCGTGTCTTCGAGCCGAGAAATTGCGAGCTGGTGGATTAAAAGGGAGGAAGAGGTGGTTCGCGAACGGGTGTCGAACGAGGTGGTATGGAGGGGTGGATCGGGTGCCCTTTTCTCCCTTTTCGCGGGGACACGGAGTCGGGTGAAATGGGAAAAGGAGACCAATGGATTTTCTTTCTTCTTTTCTTTTCTGTTTCGGTTCGCGCGATTATTAAGAATTTCACGTATGGAATTATACGAGGAATCGTCATCATCATCGGTTAAGTGATATCCGCTTAACGTCTTTTGCTTTGAACGATCGATCACACGCGGTGGATTCAAATTATCGTTCTCGCGATAAATAAAAATTACAAGATTATTCTATTCAGGACGTTCGTAACTGCAAATTATCGCCTCGAGAGATCATTTCTTTCCTCTCTTTCGATCTGACCACTTTCACCTCACCAATATTCGCTCGCCTGTGTTCGATTTTATGTTTATGCACCCCGTATTCGACTCTCTCTCTCTCTCTCTCTCTCTCTCTCTCTCTCTCTCTCTCTCTCTCTCTCTCTACTCTCTCTCTCTC